CAGCTTTGTCATTTGTATAGCATTATGTTCTATACTAATTAGAAATGTAATGTGGTGCAATGCTTAAGTGGTGCATAAATAAATGCTTGAGTAGTGCAATGTACATTTAATAGATGGCATCAAGGAGGCAGTTTGTTCTGACTGAAGCAGCAGTTGCTACACTAAGGAATCGATATAGTACATCTGGAAGTGGCACATATACAGTCTAATGGAGCCACAGCTATCTATAATGCACCAGACATAAAAGTGTTCCACAGTGTAGAGAGTGCGTGTATGTTTGTACATCAGTGTGGGTTCAGCCAGATAGCTCATACTAAGGCACAGTAAGGGTCATGGAGATGCCAGAGGCAAGGTCGGCAACCATATAGCAGAGGAGCTGAACACCCATTATCATTTCCCATGGAGAGACACTGAGAGAAAGAGGTAATGAAAGATAGCAGAACAATGAAAGAGAGAAAGATAAGAGAAATAAACCCGTGACTGACAACATGAAAACTGTTTATTCAGTGAATAGCAAACCTCCAAAAAAATGTGCAGATTTTTTTTCTTTTAATTCCCTCCTTAGGTTTCATTAAACTGCACTCCCATTTCCAAATCCTGTAAAACCTTTATAAGAGCTAAACACAACAGTATCTATCCAAGACAGCAAGGCAAATGAAAACAGGTTGAGAAAAAGCTGAGGAGACTGGCGCATGGGGGAAGACTGGGAGGGATGGTGAGCGCAACAATTTGGGTGGGCAGATGGTGCCAACATATGGGCCTGTTAGGGGCAAAATAAATAAATAAAGCCTCACACATAAATACTGAGATGAACTGTGAGTGCCACAAACTGTTGGCCAGCTTAGCCAGTTGAGAAAGAGTGCAAATGGGAGAAAGCTACTACTGAAATTGCTTGCAGATTTCTAAATAGACCACCACTGCTGAAAAACATGCACAGAGACAATTGTGACAATAGGCTTTATAGGTCTGAGCCTCTGTGCAATCCCTCATCTCCAAGTAAATGTACATTAACTATGTACACATTATAACAATTAAGGGAGAAAAGATACACATGCAGTGTGTAATCTGCCTTTTGAATATGTGTCTGTGTGCTAAAAATAGTTTCCACAGGTCACAGAGTGGCAAAGTTATTTTTCCATCTGCAAGCTCAACTCCCTCTCTGCAGCTGTCTGGTTCAGCTGCTGTGGTGTTTGCCCTCCCTCCACATTGCTATCTACAGTATATATCTCCACCTCTTGTCTGCTTCCTGTTCAACCTCAAAGTCTGTGGCTCAGTTAGAGAGGTGGGGTTGAGAGAGGTGATATCCTCCAGCAAACAAACAGCTGCTTTGTACATCATGTTCTTGGCCCATATCAACTGCACGCTCCTATACAGCTCCATTCAAGTTCAACTGCCCTGCACTGACAAGCAAATGGAGGAAGACCAATACAGTACAGCCAGTGTATATATACTATCCATGCCTTTTTGGTTCCTGTGCAGGTGTCTGTTCTTGTATGTACTCTGCATGACATACAGATGATTGTATGCATGTATATAAATTCAACATTTGAACAATTTTAAACTGTAGCTCACCAGTTGGCATATCTTCACAGCCTCACACCTTTTCCTAACAGCATGACATGTTGGGATGACTTCAGGCTGTTTACACTGAAATGTCTGTGCATTAGACGAAATGTAAAGAACCCGTGGACCTCATGAACAGCCTGTCCTTGTCAGTTTCCAAGAGCATGAAAAGCTGACAAACATCAAAAATACAGGCACTCACTCATTGGGACATTCTATTTTTGTGTTTGGTGTTTACTAGCTACATAATCTTATGCCAGTGTGTGTCACATTAACCGATGTATTTGTCTGATAGGACAAGTGTAATGGGGTTTAAGGATGTTTTTTTTCATAATTTGTTTCAGCATGTTTTAGATCATTGGTTTGCTGTCTTTTTAATCAATTATTGTGATTTTATGTAAGCAATATTGTCTTTCTCTGAGTGCCCCTGACACTGACCAACCTCAAGCACTAATTCACCAAAGCAGCTACACGTGTGGGACACTGGCGGAAAAGAGGAAGAAAACTATTTAAACATGGAGCAGGAAAAGAATGGCAGCAACACATCAGGAAGGACACAGCACTGTCAGGTTTGCTCGGCCGCTCTGGCCTCCCTCACCTTTCCTACTGTCTCTTGCCCATTAACACTAATCACGTTCACCTGTTCCTCACTCCCTTATCACCACTCGATTAGGTTGCTCACTATATTACCCGGTTTCACTCCTCAGTCACTTGCCAGTTCGTTCTTGTCTCTATGCCATTTTTTCTCCGTGCTGTCTCGTTTTTTTTTTTGTATGTATTTATCCCCTAGCCAGCTACTGTTTTGTGTTCTCCCCATGGACTGTTCCTCCGGACCGTGGCTCCACTCTCTCCTCCCAGGCAGGTCAATGCTCAGTCGCCTATCTGTTCTACTATTGTCATCATCTCTCTGTCTCCACCTTCAGTAGCCACCATCACCACCGACCAGCCCAGGAGTGACCCAGCCTATGCAGCTCGGTCCAGCTCTCCATCTCCTCACCTCCTACTATTGGTCAACACCCGGCTACTACTCATCGACAGGACTACGCACTATTTCCCTCTGTGCATTTTGTTATTTCTCCTCATCACTGTACATAATAAATTACTGCTTGCATCGAAGTCGGCTACCTGGGTCCACCTCTTTCTCGTTCGCTCACTGACAGGTGCGAACGGCACATAACAAGCACAAAAACTTCCAAGGAAGCTGTGAGGCATCTGCTGGAGTTGTAGACCAGCTGATGAGATACAAGCAAAGCTTAAAGCACATCATCTTAGGTCTGTGGAGTGCCATTCAGTGTCTTTCACTGTTCAACTCTGGCTTCATGGAAAAATTGTATTTTTTGTCTGCAATAGAGTCCGAGGGACCTTTTTAATCCTATGGCAATGTTGTCATTTAAAATGATATCCTTTCCGAAACTATAGCTCTACTTTATTTACAGTTTTAACAATTGGAATTAAATTGTTAATTATTATAATAATAAATTGTTAATTATTATTATAATAAGATTTGTAAGTGTTTATTATTGTCTGACTCTTTGTAAGCATCTGTGTGCCCACCTCTCTGGAGTGTGTCTGGTAACATATTACCATAGCAAACACATCTGGATGTTTTCTACATCCCTCTCAGTTTGAGTATGTTTGGTTGATAGACACCACCACCTTATCACTTTGTATTCCATTTGGCTTTTTGCCCTCATAATGTCTGAAAATTTAATTTGATTGCAGCTGTAATCTTCCAGTTAGTTAATTGACTTTGCCGAGCTTTGCCTCCCTCCTACCTTCATGAAGAGGAATAGTTTGATAAGATTCTGTGTCTTATCCACTCCCTGTGAACCTGCAGTCCCACACTGTCTGCTTTGGTCACTGGAGATTACTCCTCTGAAACTGGAGAACCTAATGTGATCTCAAGGGGGAAGCTGAACTGACAAGAATTTTGCAGTCATCTGTCTTGTTGTCACAGTGGACAGGGAGGCTCGCTGTCATGGCCTCGTGGCAAATTAAATTCTTATTAAATCTGTCTGTATAAATGATGTTCATAGACAATCCTGCATTAACAAATACATTTTGTAGAAAAAGAAATGGCACCAAGATGTTTTTTCTTTTTTTCAACATTACATTGAAAGAATTGACAAAACATTCCCCATTTAAGGTCTACTTATTCATGTGACTTTACCTATAACATATAAAGTCCTCATCAGCAGATGAAGGTGGCTGTGTTGTCATGGAACTGTAGATGAGTAAATTGTCAAGCACAATCTTTAAGAAAGCAAGTAAGTAGACCTTCACTGGGGATTGCTTGTCAATTGCTATTTACAAGGTCAAGGATGAACGTTTAATCTCAAAAGAAAAAGAAAACTTTTATACTGAACATACTGTGTCTGCAAAACATTGTATGTATTGTATTATATTGTATTTGTAGTTTATAAAATATCATTATGTGGTAACATTTTTATGGTGATATTTAGGCATCTGGTTAAAGCAGGGAAATATTGGTGTCTTGGTAAAATACTGTAAAAGTCAAGACTGACAAAATGTGTTTAGTTTTCTTTTACATTTAACTAAAACTATAATATTTTCCTGACTGTGTTTTAGTAGCCTAAACCTAACTATAGGTACTGTGGTTTATACAGCCAGCCACTCAACCTGACCTTGTACAGTATATATGAATTCTGGAGAGTATAAGGCTGACTGTTATCCAGGTAGCTACTGCAGTATATTTCCTTTAAAACTAGAAACTGCAAGTTTTTTCAGTTATGTTGGCATGAGTAAAAGATACAAGCCATTCAGAGACACTGGCTTATGATAGTGAAAGTGGAATGAGACCATGACCTGGAACCAGTCCCTGGTTTAACTGAAGAAATATGACTTTGTTATTGATGAAGAGAGTAATCGCTATGTGGGTTAATGGTTGAAACAGCATTATCAGTTGTGCTGGTCTACATTATATAGTTCAGTAGCTGGTCAAACAGCAAATAAGTCAGTGGTCTACTTAGACAAAAAAAAACAATAAAACACACTAGGTAGAAACTAAGGCTTCAGGTCACTGAAGACTTTGAAACTCAATTGTTCAAGTTCAACTGAATGTCTACAGTGGAATATTCAACCTCTAACATGGTGTTAGTAAAATTAAACACTAAAATTGCAACAAAGATAAGCCTGCTCCACTGAGGCATTGTGAGTGATGTTACTTTTGAACTTTTAGCAACAAGAGAGAATGGTGTTTGTTCTCACTGACTAATTTAATTAACACTAACACGGGGAGCTTCATTAGATTGTTTTTGTCCATTAATAAAATGAATCTGACATGGGCAGAAGCACACACAAGATACATATAAAGTCACACACACACACAAACACACACACACACACACACACTGACAGATACATGCATTACTGCACAAACACACACAAAAATATCTGAATCATTCACTGCAACTTACGGATTGCCATAGTCCCAGACAATGCATTGAGAATCTGATGTACCCTGCAAGATACAGGAAAGGGGGGTAGGTTGGGGGAAGAGAAGATACTGTCAGCTGTTATTGCCAGTAGAAAGGATGAGTGAGGGGGAGGTAGAGAGAAGACAGAATAGGTTATTTCCAGAGGCAAAAGAGTGATGCTGTATGGGCAACGGAGAGAGGTAAACAGACAATGAAAGAGAAGGACTGAGACGGATGGTGAGACGGAGAGATGGAGAAAGTCAGAGGACAGAGTAGCAAATAGATGCTGCTGCTGCAGAAAGCGAGGTGGTGTGTGAGCAGTGAATTGAGAGAGTTAGAAACAAAATAAGCCATTTCATGGACAATAATACATGGAAGATGGGGTCATAAATATCTTGCTGTGGAAAAGCATTCAAAATTCTTTACTTAAGTACAACCAGAGTGGAAGATAGTAAAGCACAAGTAAACAACTATGAAGCAGTAAAACACACTTACATATAGCAAATACATATTGTAAAAAACTGGCTCATAAAAATTGTGAAAAGGCTCCAAGAGCTCATGTTAATGCATAATATGGCCACATCCTCAAATATCTTCAAGTTTTAAAACTTGCAGACAATCTCTCATACAGGTCTAAATGCTGGTGATTTCATATCAGTTCATTCTCAGTCCATCAACAACTGCAGCAAGAGACTAGATCAGAAACTAATCACAGGTGTCAAATGGCAGATGAATCATCTGGTAATCAAAGCTCAGTCACACCTGGTGGTGAAGGATGACTTGCTATGACTCAAATCATCAAATCAATCACAGGATTAATATCTTTAACTGGGTCATCACGTTATTTCACTGGTGAACTTCAGTGACCTCAGCATAGATTACTTTTAAAAATATTTCCTGTGCCTTTCATTTCGTAAGGACTTGATTGGTGTTGGATTTAAATTGTTCTTATATTCAAAAGAAATAAGTGATTCAGAGCAGCATCTTGGTCTGAGAGAACCAACTGACCAATACACTTTCTAAGTCCCTTAGCATACAAGTGATTGGCTTCTTCATAACTGCCCACAAGTGAAATACCATTCTACCACTGGGCTGATGGAGCATATGATGCAAAGTAAAATGGATCCCTTTCTGCACACGTTTGTTGGTTCTTCCTGCATTCAGCATTAAGCACTTTGCCTTTGAGCTCCCCCTAATGGCAAAGGGGATAATAGCAGTAATTCCATAGCCAGACTGCTTTGTCCATTATAAAAAGGATGAAGTCCACTGTATGAAGGATCACTGCAGCCTGAGGACATTTTGAAAAAAATTACTGTTGTGCCATCTGAAAACTGTTGTTTTCTGAATAACAAGTGTTTTAAATGATCAAAAGAGGAGAGAAAAGGAGGTGATGCACATTCAAGTTTGCACTGTGAGGATTTATTCCTGTGAATACAAGATCACCCCCTCCTCAGAACCGTCCAACACTGATCTCCCATAAATCAGTGAATCCAGGGGTCTCTGCATGGCTGAAATCAAGAGGATGGGATGATAAAACATTTATATACACAGAATCAGAGGCTAGGGACATACTGTAGCTTGATGGATGACAGTACTATGCTCTGCTTCACACTCAGACCGGCGTCACCAACTTTAGATATTCCCTGGCATGCGTTAGAATGGTGGGCTTCTACAGCATTCAGCTATCAATCGGTTGGCACTGTGCCTGATTGTACACTACAGCCAGAGTGACATCCGTGAAGTCCCACATTGCCTGCTTCCTCTTTAGTACTGATACGTTGCTTAATGACAGCATCTGCTCGATTGATGCCTCTCAAAGGGAGTAATGTGTGTCAGCTACATTTATGGATGGTAATAATGGCATAGCTCTGTCTTCTTTTTCTCTCAAAAGGGACAGCCATTTTCTTCAAGGTATTCATAACCACATATGGTAGCCATTTGATGGTAAAATTCTTAGTGCATGCTGGCTGTAAATAAATGAGCTATAGAACAAGACCACACTGGTCCAGGGGGTCCTAAAAGCCTCCCACTTTATATCATAGATTATAGACTTAGAAAATGAAATGAAGTGACCTAGATCATTGACTGATGAAAGTAAACTCAATTACAGTAAAATTGCCAGAAAAGCTTATGACTTTTGTTTGGAAAGCTAGTCAAGGCTGACTTTTATGAACTATAGAGGCAGGATGGCTAGAAGGGGGGATGAGGAGTGCCACTCGGCAAATGATCTACTGTGGGGATCATATGGCATTCTGACCTCCTGCTTCTTACTCACCATTAAAGACACATACGTGGGGGGCCTGACTGGAGCAGATGGCCTGTCAGTGAATACACTACATGGCCATGCACAGAGACCCCTACACCTGCTTTGAGAGTGGAGCCTGAGGGAGCTGTTATCATAGTACTGCTTCAGCAGTTGGTTGTAGGTTGACCATGACACCAGACTCCCCAGAGAAAAGGAAGGAAGTGTATGTTGTATCCTTTTCTTTTTTGTCTATGTTGTTTCTCCTAAATGTACTTAAGCTTATTTGAAAACCACTATAAGATTTTGGTCACTTTCTCATTCTTGTGTTACAGAAGTCAGGGAACGATATAGGCCTCATGCTTATCATCAGATTAGGGTGTTTTATTACAAACAAAGCAAAAGTCACTGTACACTGATAACTCATAAAGACAAACCCATTCATCACTCAGGTGGTTGTGATCTGCATGATTATGCATCTATGCATTCTCAGACTATACTGAATGAACCAGAGGAGAGCTGGATAACACTGTCTGGTTCTCCCACAAAGCTCACCTCTGTGGAGAGGGCAAACAGATGTTATTATATAAAGAACATTAAAATTATACAGAAATATATCAAATCTTAACACATCAACAATTCAGACCTGCAGAGAAACACAGTTTGTCCCCATAAAGGAAGAATCATACAGTATTTAATTATTTTACATGGCCCTATTTGCATTAATAAAAAAAACGTATTTTGGTTCTCAGCTTGTTTTTTTTTCATCCCTACATATAACTTCATGTATAAATTTAAGGAAGAAACAGGTGCATGGTGGTAGAGAAAATTGTTCATTCATTGTAACATTGGCAATTCAGCTTAGCATAAACACAAAAAACAGGAGGAAACAGTTAGAAGCTAATCTTTAGAGGTGCTGATACATGGATTTTCTTAGCTATGGGCAGAGCCATGCTAGGTGTTTCTCCCTGTGTTAGCTACACTAAGCACTATACTTCCCAGTTGACTATAGCTTCCCAGTTAACATGAGAGTTGTATTGATCTTCTGACCCGACTCTGGTCAAAGTGTATTTCCCAAAATGTCATTGTTTTGCTGTAATCTTAATGGCATTTTAGTGAAATAATATCAGTACATACGTGGTAATCAAAAATACATTTTTCTGGGTTGTATTTTGCTACTAGAATTTGCTTAATTTTATATTCATTTCAAATAGCAAAATCAAGGGGCAATGATATTGTATACTGTACAGTACAGCATGTGGCTATGACTATTACATTGAGCACTGATGGCATTTCAAATGAAACAAAATTCATTTTATGCTAAACACTTGTATCTCCTGCAGTCATCTTATGTTAATATGTGACAATGATGTGTTAATTTTGCAATACACATCAAAAGAAAACCAAACCATTTTTGAAGCTTATAAAGTGTTAGGGAATCTGGACCTCTGCTGCATAGTTTTCTTGCCATTCTTTTTTAAAATCTGTGTCCTGTGAATCCCCCAAATTTTGCAAGTGTAATTCCAAATATCTGGAGCATGTCTTTAAGCAGCAATTGCCTTACCAGCCCTGGTCAGGGGTGTGCATACTATATGTGCATGTGCCCTCCACACACTGTTCTAGACCTGTGCTGTACTGTGTGCCAGAGAAGTGGCTGACCTCAGCAAGGGCCTCCAGTTAGCAGTACAGCACAGCGTGCTGTGGTCATCATTAAGACATCATCCTCTAGACGGAGGCTGTATAACTTAACCAGTATCGCTGCTTTGCCAAAAGTGTAAAAAACAGAATAATAGGAAGCTAAAATATAGATGCCTATAAAGAAAATGATTGACTATGCAATGAATGAGTGGTTTAAATCAGAGAGATGGCGTGGCAAGGGACAGAGAATGAATGAAGGTCTTTTTATGAAACACTGCGCAATACTTCTGACCATCAGGTCCTAGTTGACACAGCAAGAAACAGATTTTATTGTGCATGTGTGTATTTATATACAGAATATATGTGTTTCTGTTGTCTAGAGAGAACCATTAAATATTAAACATTATTTTCAACACTATGCTCACCTTAACACAGGAATGGCTAACGTAACCCACTTCTTATTGAAGTCGTGAAAAGTGCCTCTCATTAAACTTGCACTTAGTCCTTTCCACTGAAGACACCCCACGAGTCATTTATAATAACACACTCCACAGTATTATAAACTGAATAGGCACCAGGAGACATTGTGATATAATGAAGTCAAAAAGGTCCACATTTATTCAGGCAAAGAACCAAGCGCTATGGAGCTTTATAGCATCCGGCCCTTTTGCTTTCTTCTGAACTCAGGAACGATGGGTCAGCTGGGAGAAGAGGAATTCTTTAAAGCCTTAATGAAATTTGTTTTCTTTGCTACAGCTTGCTCAGTATACAAGTGTGTAATAAAAAGGTAAGCCCTTGCACTGAAAAGTGCTTCATAAAGAATAATTAATGTTGCATATAACAAACTGTGATATTACTTGGTGATTTTTCTACTACTTAGAAATTACACACTACCTCAAATGAATCTCTGCATTGGTTGGTACAGTGAAGATGATAAAAATGGAAAAGTATTGGTCTTCACTTTCCAACACCCCACTCTTACTTTACATCCTCCAGACTCAGCCACTGTTTTGTATTGCACATAAAAGCTGGGTGATTCTAATAGCTGGGCATGAGAGAGATTTTCAACTTACATTAAAAAGTGGGGACAGCTCCACCATCACCATGGGCTCACTGGGCTGCGGTTCCGGTCGTACTGTCACTGTCAGGATCTTGGAGTTGATCACCATAGGGGGGCTACAAAAACATACAAAAGAGAGTGTTTTGAGAACTGTACTGCACATTCACATTTGGCTTAAACTGCCTTTTGGAGTTTGAACATTGACAGGAAAAAGTGTGTAGCTTCCTTTTGCTGTTTGTCAAACACACAGACACAATCATATGCCCACACACACACACAAAATCACACATACTCAGTCCACTTCCATGCTTTTGAGGGTTTTGAGTGTGTTTGCAGAAATAAATAAATACATAAATAAAGAAACATAAAAAATGTAGTGAGACAGGGAGAGCGCCTAAATAAAAGCAAAAAACTGGATTTATTAGCATTCAGCAGAGCTACCGAGAGAAAAGGGTTTTAACAGATCTAGCTCATCCACAATCAAGTGCACTGACCTGAATAAAAGGGCCCTGGGCCAACACAAACACCGTATTACAGTGGCCTTTCAACAACCTCTGGATTTTATCCTAACCTCTATTTTTACAATTTCTATGTGTGTTTCAGAACCCATTAGGCCCAAACCCATTCAAAACCCACTATACACTTCCAAACATACACTGACAATGCAAAAGAAAGGGAGGGACATCTAGGCGAATGTACATTTTTGCAGATCCAAGGCATTTGTTTGATTACTAGGTAGACACAAGGAGAGGTGGGGAGACAGATGGAGAACTGAAGATTGGAATTAGGTAGAGGGAAGAAGTGATAAAAGAAAAGACACAGAAATAGAAAGGCAGTGCAAATGAAAAATAAATAAAAGTGAATGCAAAGAAGATTAAAAGTTGTCAGACAAAGTACTGAAAAAGGGGATGCAGAAAGAAAAAAGAAAATACATGGAATGAAGTAGAAGGTGCAATATAAAATAGTTTGAAATGTTTGAAAATAAAAAAAAACTAATAGGAACACACTGAGAAGTACTCACTTTGGTGTAGGTAAGATAATACCCAGCGTCCTGTACAAAATGGCTCCGATAACATAATATATTGTAGACTCTGAGTCCATCTCTGTTTCTGAAACACAAACAATTTTACAACTGATCAGCACAAACACAGCAAATGTCATGGCTTGTCTAATAAATCCATCTATCCCTTCATACAGCCATACTGTATATTTTGTGTAAGGGTACAAGGTACTGGACATCAGAAAACATTTCTCTGGACAAATAGTACAGCCTTAAATGTCATTTTCATCTAAAAGACAGCCAAGGTTGTAATTCCTGTGCTGGGTAAACCAGTCACTGCAGATTCATGCACTGCATTTACATTTACCTTTACACCGCAGCTGACAAATGATTTGTTTACTACATCAAAATAAAAAAAGTAAATTGAAGCACCTCCCTGAAACATCTGACAGCTACATACTCTGAATAATTATGCTTCTGAGCAGAAAAGCTATCACTAATTCAGGTGCAAGGTCCTGGTGTCACACTGTGTGAGGGTGGAGACACTATTTGCCTTTTATCAACTGGTAGCTCACCTGCTTTTCTGCTAGTCATGTTACAGAAGCCTTATTTCTAAAGCAAAAGTAACTTTAAAAACATCTCTTTAGGTAGGCCTTCGGTACTTAACTCATTTCACAGAGATATTTTTAACTTGTTCTAGGTTATTTATATTTCAATATGCAGTTTCCTCTCTGTTTTAAAGTGTGTGCTTTATTTTATTTCAGTTTTTTTTTTGTTGCTTTTTTCTAGTGTTTGTAGTTTCTTTTCACTAGAGTACATAAGTTTTGCTGTGAAGCACTTTGTGCCCCTTTCAAGTTTTAAAGTGCTATACAAATAAAGTATTATTATTATTATTTCTAAAGCCATCACTCCAACATGCAATTAACCTGAGGAAAATAAAGTTAGTGTTCCAGCCCTGTTCAGACCATGCCCTTTTCCCTCTCGCTTTGTCCTTTTTATTTCAAATTTCTTTCTTTCTTCCTTTTCCTCAGTATTCTCCCCTATCATCCTCCCTTGTTGTTGTTGCCATCCTACCTATTACCTACTTCTCCATCCTTTTTGACAGTTTTTCTTTATAACCCCTCTTCTTCCATCACTTCCTTAGGTGTTCTTTTACCAAAAAGATCAGATGCTCCCAAGGAGATGTAGTGTCCCTCTGTAAATCTCATTTGTCTCAAGTGAGAGAGGTGAGAGAGGTGGAAGAAAGCAGTAAGGAGAAGTAAAAGAAAGAGAGAATTCATGTTAAGAGATGCCACTCCATCCTTTACCATTTTATGCTGAGAGAAGTGATAGAGGAACATCAGCAAGGGGAGAGTGGGGGAGAGGAAGAGACAGGGGAGGCAGATGTTATCAGATGTACTGAGTGACCCATCCGAAATCTGTCTGCATTGCTGCTTAAGAGCTAATGCTCAGGAAGAGGGATAGCTATAAAAGACAGACGAGGAGAAAAAGCGGAAGAAACAAAAAGATCTCGACAGTGGAAAAAAGCAATTGTGAGACTGTGGGAAAAAGAAAACAGATCAAAGTCTGCACGAGAAAGCTTGTGAGTGTGATGGATCCTAATTGGTCAGTGTCTGCAAAGGCATGTAAATGAGAAAGTCAGTGTATTGTGGGTAAATGGTAAATCAGTATGAGAGGGGGTGGCAGTCCTACTCTCGAGGATGATTAATAACACAAAAGCACTCAATCACTAAACTTTAATTTCCCATGAACAGACTTTTTGTCACTCTCCTTGTGCTGAACATTTAAGTGATTGGTGGTCAGCTGTAATCCACCAGTCACCAGCCATGAACTTTAATATGCCATTTGTCAGGAAAAGATATGCTTGGAGTCTATGCTAAGATGTAATTTACTGTTTTAATCAAAGATCGAAAGCTCCATCCAAACAGTTCCATGTGAATTACTCTTTCACTTCCTTCCAAGCTTCTTTATTCAGCTCGTTTGCTTTATCGTAACCTTTTTACAAAGCACAGAAAATTTTAAGAAATAAAAGTATGATACAGCAGCATTTTTTTTTTCGCCAACTAAACTGGCCGGCAACATGACAAGCTCAGAAGAATTTATTCACTGCAGTACCTATTTAGACTTAGGGAGTTATTATTTGCACTATCTTGTGTACTAGAACTTACCACTTCATACCAAAATTTGAATTCAGTTGTAGTTAATTTAGCTAATTCTAAACTGATCAAGCTGTTGATTAGTTTGCCAGTTCTAAAAATATGCATAACTGCTTTCCAGCCATGCGATAGATGATAAGATTGATATCATTTGCTGATCTGTGCCTTTAAGTATGGAGCTGGAGCCAGTTAAGAAAGTCTGTCTTTATCATATTATTAGAGCAGGCCTCATGTGGTCTGTGTTCTTACTTACTGTAAAAAGAGGTCAAAGTATGTTTGGATATGTACAGTATGCATGCGCATGGCTGTGAGACAGAGTGTGCAGTCTGATGTGTTTTCTACAAAAATAGGGAGTCAGAGAGAGAGGGACTTTGTCACCTCAAAAATCTGTGATGAACTCCCACTCCCCATCCTCTGTCTAGTGAAGCCTTGGGCTTATCAGTTGGATGTGTGCATGTGTGCAGGGAAAGATGCCAATCAAACAAACTAATAGCAATCAACTGAAGAGCTCAACTTATGGATTGCCAATGGGAAGAAGCAGAGTTCCCACAGGGGCAAAGAGTACTTATAATATCCCAACTCATAAGGATAAATGCAGTTTGAATGAAATAATTTACTAAATAGCATGAGCTACTGTAAAATGGCAGTTGCATATGCTGGCTATCATATGAGCACTGTGAGACAAATCCTTTCACCAGCACTATGAGGATAATGGACAAAAAATGAGAAGAGGAAAAAAGGCATGAAAAGCAGTACTACAGCGAGACATGATGAACAGAGAATAAGACGGCAGAAAACTTGACAAATAGATTAGCTGTTCCATAAAATGTGGAAAAAGCCCCATCTTGAAGCAAACAACTCACATACAACTCATAAAGAGGTTCTTTTACATAAAAGCAAGATGGATGGTTAGATGGTTTACAATAAGCATGTTATAGTGTGCATAATAAACAGTCAGAGAAAGTATGTGAGGTTTAGCATACAGAATATATGAGATTCAATGTTATCTGTGCAAGTCAGAGGTCAGAGATGGCTCTGCTCTCTCAGCCTGCAGCCTCTGTGAACTTTAGTTTGGGCAGTGGATGGGCTTGAAGACACAATGTCTGGCAGTGTTATTTCCTGTGTGATATGGCTTTTTATTTCATAGGTAGTATAATTCTCTTACCCAACATAAGCCACTTTCTTCCCACTTTTTTAGATCCCTATTCTTAGCTCCTATTCTTCCTACTTTCTCTTTATATTCGCTGCTGCCTTTATTTCTTGGTATGAATTTTGACAGTTAGTTTGCTTATCTTTTGGCTTCCCTTGAAACCATATAACTAGACTAACAGCATTTAACTTATTTGTGCTGCTAAAGTCAAAGAGACATATTTCAAAACTGTGGGAGCACTTGATGTTTTCAAAGGGATACAGCACACTGTTAGGACATGGATGAGCGAGCAGAGGAAATAACGGACCTGGTGACACAACGGAGTATGTTTTCCAGCTCCTGGTTCAGCCGTTCAGCTTGACCATTAGTTTGGGGGTGATAACCGGAGGAAAGACAGGGACGTGCTCCAAGGGCAGTGCAAAAAGCAGACCAGACGTGAGAGGTGAATTGTGGACCGCGGTCAGAAACAATGGTGATGGGAGTGCCGTGGATGCGAAAAAAATGTTGAACCAGGAGCTGGGCTGTTTTGAGAGCAGTGGGGAGCTGAGGAAGGGCAAGAAAATGAGCAGCCTTGGAGAAACGGTCAACAATGGTGAGAATGACTGCGTTGCCTTGGGAGGGGAGAAGACCGGTGACAAAGTCGAGGGCTATGTGAGAGACCAGGGCTGGCTAGGCGTAGTCAGCGGCCGAAGGAGACCAGCGGGTGACTGATGTAGGGGCTTGGACTGCGCACAGGGAGCACAGGCGGCTACGTACTCCCTGGCATCTTTTTCTAGGAGGAGTGTGATTGGTGGCCGGGGGGGTTGTACTGTCAGGAGAGGGCGTCTGGTTTCTGGTTACGGGACCAAGGCCGATAAGAGAGGGTAAACCAAAACCGATCAAAGAACAAGGCCCACCTCGCTTGCTGGGGATTCAGTCTTTTGGCTGACTGGAGGTAGGCCAAGGTCTTATGATCGGTCCACACTAAAAAGGGCTGGTCGGCACCTTCAAGGAGGTGCCGCCATTCTTCCAGGGCCAGTGTTAAGGCTAGTAGTTTCTTATTGCCGATGTCGTAATTACGTTTGGCCGGGCTCAACCGTCTGGAGTAGTAGGCACAGGGGTGCAAACCGTGGTCTTCCCCAGACCGCTGAGAAAGGACCGCTCCCACCCCAGTGTCTGATACGTCCACCTCAACCACGAACTGCCGTGTGGGGTCAGGTTGGAGGAATACAGGGGCTGTGTTGAACTGGTCTTTGAGGGCTTGGAAGGCCTGCTCCGCTGTCCTGGACCATGCAAACTTCACCTTGGAGGATGTGAGCTGTGTGAGGGGGGCTGCTATGGTGCTGTAGTTCTTTATAAAGCGGCGGTAGAAGTTTGCAAAGCCCAGAAAGCGTTGCAGGTCCTTCACACAGGTGGGGGTAGGCCAATTGGTGACAGCAGAGATTTTGGGTGGGCCGGTGCGAAGTCTTC